GAAAGGTGTCATCCAATTCAGGAAGAAGGGAAAATTGGGCCCTTGGTACATCAATCCTTTCAGGGTTTTGGCCCGAGTGGGCCGGATATATTATCTTTTGGATCTTCCCGAGGAGCTTAGTCAGATCCATAGCACATGCCACGTCTCTCAGTTTTAAAGTGTTTAGTGGATGATTCTATGGTGGTTCCATTGGAGGATACTCAGGTGGATGATCGCCTAAATTATGTCGAGAGATCGGTGGCGATTCTTGACCAGAAGCCGAAAAACTTAAGGAACAAGTTTGTTGAGTTAGTGAAGGTCCAGTGGAAGCATCGTAAGGGTTCAGAATGAACGTAGGAATCGGAGGACAAGATGAGGGAGCACTACCTAGAGTTATTTGGGGCAACAAACTTCGAGGATGAATTCTGATTCAAGTGAGGGAGAAGTTTAACATTCGAGTTTTGTTAAGTTTCTTTTTAGCCCTTTAATGAAAATTGTTAACATTTTGGTCCTTGGCTAGTATGCGGGGCGTACTCTATGAGTACGCTTAGCATACTAGCCCATTATCTGATCGCAGGTTTTATCCACGTACACGGGGCATACCTGGAGTATGCATGGCGCACATGGTGCAAGGTTAAACTCTTGTTGCACGCCGTGCACCCCAAAATCGGCTATAAATAGGAGGCCAAGCCTCATTCATTCATCCACACCGCTTCTATTATTATCTCTCGATTTCCTTTGGTTCTAGCCTCATTTTGCTCGCTTAGATTTCAGTTTTCATCAAGAACCTCTATAAGTTAAGTTACACTTAGTTCATGTTAAGTGTACCTTTAATTTAAGTCATACTCGTTATTATGAATCTATAATAAAGGTTTATCGGTAATTCCAAGTCGTTATACTAATTGATCCACTTGTGGGAGTGATGTCTAGGCTGGATTTAGTGAGGTGTTTAAAGTGATATTTCCAAACAGTATACTCTGTATACCAAATTGACCCTAACTTTGATATGATCCTACCTGGTTATTCCTTATTTAGATCTTGAAGTAGACTTTGGGATTGTTGAGGAATCTAAACCCTTAGGATAATAGTTCCATGGAATGAAATTAGACTAAGACTTAGCGTTATGTACATCTAGGTGTAAGGTGAAGCTCTACCTAACTCACCAATCACCAGACACTTTGTTAGATGAGTGCATATTCCCTTTCATGAACATGATTTAATACAAGTATTAATTAAAATATTAAATATATGTTGGAAGTTGTATGTGAATTATGTGCTTATTTCATGGACGATATGTTAAGATATATAACGTGTTATGTGCAAACTAGAAATGGTTCTATTTTATGTTAGGATAAATAAATAATATTCAAAGTAAAATTCTTGAGAAGATAAATGATTAATAATATCTAATACTCTTATAGAATATATATATATATATATATATATATATATATATATATATATATATATATACACACACACACACATACACACACACACAAAGATAGGTTAGTGTCTCCCAAGAATAGATTTGGTTTTAAAAAGTTAGTTTCTGGCACTGTAATCTAGTTTAGGGATAAACTTGGACTCATGGAAGATATGTTGCTTAATTGTGTTTGCTATTAGGTAGTCACATTAGGAGAATGTGTATAACCTATGAATGTAGAGTAAATATCTATTCCATGACACTATCAGGTGTTGATGTACGGTAGCTTCGTACGGGATAACCATAAATCGTGGGTCCCGATCCGACATTTGTTAGCAGTATGTATGGTCAAACCACAAAGTAGGTGACAACACTTGATCATTCTGGACGGTCTTGTGAATTACGTTTCTAGTGTGAGCTTATTACTCATAGACGTAGATGAATTGTAAAACCATCTTTATTAAATACTCTAACGGCCCATAAGCCTTTATGACTTACAACAGAAAAGGAAACCCCTAGCTGTGTAGTTAATCTTTGAATGATTCATCAGGCAAGATAATTTCTCCTAGATAATCTTGGACTAGGATCTGTGAGGATCGGTAGGAATAAATATGTAGGAATATATGCCAATATGGATTTAGTATAGTAATGGTTGGTTTTGCGTGTATGATAAGTAAAGAATATTTTCATATCAATATTGTGGGATTGAAATCCCTATGTAATACACCAGGTATGCCCAACCTAACCCACTCAGGTCATATACATCACATGTATCAAGACTTAAGCCACTGGAACTTGATTAAGATGCTGAGTGATTAAGAGATAACCTGCAATAGTATTCAGGACATCAGGTATTTACACTGTAACTTATGTATCTGTATTGATTATGACATCCTTAAGTTTTTAACATTTTGAATACAAACATTTTTAATCAAAATGATCTTTTGAGCTGAGAATTTTCGCAAATATAAATAAATGATTTTAAAAACGTAAAGAAAAGTTTTAATTGGTTTTCAAAATTAGAGGATATCACATCCTCCAACACGTCGTGGCAACTCCAAGAAACCAACATATGAATAAATCAAATGTACCTCAAGATTCAAATGTTACACCATATCATGACACAAGGCTAGCCACAACATGGTGATGGGTAGGGGTGCAAATGAGTCGAGTCGAGCCCGAGCCTGGCCAGGCTCGGCTCAGGCTCATTTAAATTATATGAGGCTCGAGCTCGAGCTCGGCTCGATTCGAGCTCTCTTGTACTGAGCTCGGCTCGAGCTCGTAAAGAAATATCCAAGCTTGGCTCGAGCTCGGGCTCGACTCGTTTGTTATCTGACGTGCCTAAATAAGCTTAAGTTCGGCTCGAGCTCGTTAAGAAGCTTGTTTACTAATACCCTAAATCCGTAATTTCTGTAATATATTTTTATTTTAATATATATATATATATATATAATAATAATAATAATAAATTATATTTTGTAAAGGCTCGTTTAGGCTCGCGAGCCAAATCAAGCTTAATGACATAGGCTCGAGCTCAAGCTCGTTTAATAAACGAGCTTAATATTAAGCTCGAGCTTGGCTCGGGCTCGTTTACAATCGATTTCGAGTCGAGCTTTGATGTGTGTAAAACCAACTAGTTTTAATCATACTAACTTAAACACAAAGACAAACACACGAAAGGCAGTGTACCTATCGATTAGCAGCTTAGTTCAGGTAAGTAGGGTATCGAACACAGGGAATGGTAAACAATTAAAATAGATGCTAATATTATCTAAATAAAACAAGTAATAGAAAGGGGGGTTTCTCTAGTTTTGCAAGACTAGAAACTTAAATACTTTACTAACACGCAAACAAAGCAACTAATAGCTAAGAAAACAAAGATCAACTAAATTCAATGATTAAAAAGGACTTCTGTTTAGGTTCGAATCATTTGTTCCCATGGATGATTTTATGGTAAATATATCGGATTAATTCTTCATTGGTTACCGACTAAAGTGATTAGATTCACATTCGCTATAGCTAATCCTTAGAAAACATATTAATTCAAGCAATGGCCAGTTGTCTAAATTAATGAATTTCCTAGTTTGTTGATTCGGGTTTAGAAAGACTTGTAATTAGCTAATCAAATTGGTGATTCAATTAACCTCTTGTTGATGGTGTATCACACAAGCTCACACATTAACTTACCTATCTTCAAGTTAATTCTAGTTTCACATTCGTTATTCCTAGACATACAACTATGTGGTCACGTAAATCATATGAAATTAGCAACTAAGAGATGTTCATACAACTTAATTACTGATTTATTAACAGAAGAATAGTTATTGTTAACACATAAGGTTCTTTAACAAGCTTAATAAAACATAATCACCAATTAAAATTAATCCTAATCAAATAATCAATCCATGTTCACAAATTCATCTACCTAAACAGAAGTTATGAGTTTTTAGCTCATAATTACAGCAGAAACAAGATCAAAAATGAAATCAGTTGGTAAAAACATACCTCAAACAAGAGATTAGGTAAGAGTAAACTTGATTTTGACTTGATTCTCCTTAAAATTGAATGTAGGGTTGATTCCCTTGCTTCCCACGCTCTAGCAGCACCTTTAGTCGACAATTGGCCTCCAAGGGTTCATTTATCTGCCAGGGTATCGATCTGAAAGTCCCTTTATATAGATTTTCACAAAACAGGGGCTACTCGGCGAGTCCATTGACCTACTCGGTGAGTCCATCACTTAAAACCCGTGTGCGGCAAGTCAGCGTGTCCAGAATCGCGAAACTTCTGACCAACTCGGCGAGTAATCTACCCTACTCGCCGAGTACGTTTCGAATCAGCATTTTCTCAAAACACGAAAGTCGTCCGAAATTGTGTCTACTTTTCAGAACATTTTGAATATCGTCAATCGGAGTTACGGTTCATGAGATATGGCCAAAACACTGACGAGGGGTCAAGCTGTCCAGCAACATCCTTCTTTCTTCAAAATCCAATATCCAAGCCTCCAATCGTTAGTTCCGCTTCCTTTTCCTTCCGAGCATGTCATTATTGCTGAAAAATGATTCTAAACTAATTAAGCACCTTTTGTTCATTAAATGAGATAAAATCAACATAAAGTATTAAGATAATGCATGTTGTTTTTAACTAAATATGCCCATATCACTACTAGAAAAGCAGCCTTTTACGACGCTCATTGCGCGTCGTAAAAGGCTCAGACGACGCGCAAATGCGCGTCAAGGAAGGCCCTATCATAAAGAGAGACGACGCGCATTTACGACGCGCAGTTACGACGCGAAATGCGTATCAAGGAAGGCCCTGCCATAAAGCAAGACAACACGCTTTCGCGTGTCGTAACCTTACGACGCGCGTGTTAATGACACGCAATGCGTATCAAGAAAGCCACTGTCAAGAAAGGCCATGTCATAAATGAAGATGACACAAATTTTTGTGTATCATAATTTTAAATGTTAAAAAAAATATTATTTATATGAACTGCTACAAGTATTATTAAAATTTGAGGGGTAATATTGACCTTTTGGCACAGTTAAGTCTACAAAAATGCAGCTTTCTGAAGGATGAGGGCAAAATGGGGATTGAATTATTGCTTGAACTGATCACCCAAACCTTGGGGCATTCCTAAGCTCTGTGCAAGATCGCCCATTCGTGCTTTCATGGCCTAAAAAGGGGTAAAACGGTCAAATTCAAAATATATTACTCCAAGGGTAAAATTGTACTTTTATATTCTCATACAAACCTGGACACTCTTTTGATGAGCATCTCTATATGCTTCTGTAATCAGAAGTGACAGTTTCTGCAAAAAAAAATCAATGATACAATATATCATTCTTTTACTAATTTATCTGATTTATGCAACAATGTTTTAACATTTAATTAAAAAAAAGAGTAAGATACAAAAATATAAAATGAAATAATATAATAAAATTACTCACTTCTGAACCCTTTCCATTGCAGCCTCTGTAATTTATATGCATAGAGGTTGCTGATTCCCAGAGAGAGTGACCTAAAGTTGCAGCTCTCAATCCAACAACTTCATGTGCTACATCTTTGTCAACAGTAGGACCCACTATGGATTCCCATTTTATATACTTTCTCTTACCTCTAGCATTTTCCTAAAAATGTATAAATAAAGTATTTGTAAAATTATAATTATAATTACATGATATGAAAATGGAATTAGTTACCTCATCTGAAGACTCCAATTCTGATTCACCACTTGAGAGATGTGCAACACTGGAGTTTGTATCTACAGGAGAGGGTGGGGTGGGGGTGGGTAGGGGGTAGGGGTGGGTAGTTCTGCACAAAATGGGGCTGAAAATTGTGAAACAAAGTTTTTGTGAAACAATAGTCTCTTGATGAGATGAACTAGCAGATTTGTGAAACAAAGTTTTTGAATCTTTGTTTCTCAAGTGATCATCATAGTCCCTTTTCTTTATAGAATCAGAAAGAATCTGAAAATTGGTGTGATTATGAGTCTAGGATCTTTATATATATATATATATATATATATATATATATATATATATATATATATATATATATATATATATATATATATATATAATTAGAAGATATACTGATATACTTGCCTCATATGCACATTGAACTTTCTTAAATGATTCACTTGCCAATGGGTTTCCCATCTTTTTATCAAGGTGCACTAGCATGGCCTATAAGGGATCAAAACGAAAGTCAATTGACCAAAAAAAAAAGGACCACAAATTATATTGAATATTGCATTGCCTTTTTCTTGTATTCTTTCTTCAACAAGATTGCATCATTCTTATCATATCGACTAAATCCTAGTGTTTCATAGTGATCCACACAACTTATAATTCTTTCCATTTCATTGAATTCATTTTCATGGGTTTTGACCATAGAAATGGAGATGGTTGACTTTGACTCTTTCTTCTCTGTGTTCATAAAAGTTGGCTTATTGCTTGAAGATTTACACGAGTTAACCTGTTCATGTTCATCTTCCTCACCATTAACACAAAACTTGCTCTCTGTAATGTCATCTTCAAGAAACGACTCTGTAACTTTCGTAATCTACACTACAAATTTCAATATATAAGAATATACATATACATATATCAATCAACAAAATGTCCAACAAATTGCATTAATCTACAGCTACGTAACCATGTTGAAGCTACTTGAAGAAGGTCTGTAAGAACCCTAAAAGCTCTTTCAGATTAGGGTTTTCTTTCTTTTCGTATGTAACCCTAACTGATTTCAAAGGAGCTTTAAAGTGTAATAACCCACCCATATGCATAATTGACATGATCTGGTCAAGAAAGATGAAACAGAGCAATTATTGAAATCAGTTAGGGTTACATACGAAAAGAAAGATGAAACAGAGCAATTATTGAAATAAAAGATGAAGGAAAATAAACCTGGGTAAGAAGGCGTTTTAGGCCCATCTTTCTCCTTCTCTTCAAATCAAAGGTCAGATCTTTGTCTCGCCCTTTCTTCCTCGAACAGAAATTTCAAAATAGATGCTTGATTCAAAGGCTGCGCGCTTTCAGCAAGAAATTGGTGGGTTTACGAGAGAGGGAGAGGGGAAGAGACGTCTTGAAGGGAAACGAAAGATCGGATTTTTATGTTGTTTTAGGAAATCCGAATCCAATTGTTCGTTAAAGGGTTCATAGGCTGCTGAACAGTAAACACACGTTGCTGCACGCCTGACCTAAGGATTGCACCATTTAATTTTTAACTAGTTTATAACTAAACAAGATGAAGATGAAACAAAAATGATAAGATTTCCCTTTTTCTTCTTCTCTCAACCGCTTCTGTATCTATCGCTCTCTTCACCAAAGCAAGATGAAGATCTAACAACTTGATTGCGGAGGCCCCTTGTCGATTTGTGAGGACTAAAATATGGAAATGTTGAAAGAAGGAAATGACAGATATTCACGAATGATGTTCTCGTCGCCGGCTCCAAAGCGCCATAATCATGGCCGAGATCCAGAATCGTATATGTTTGCTATTTACAAATCTGTTGTTGAACTTGGAAGAATCGACCTAGGTATTCCCACTGCTGAAGATGAAGGCTTTTTCTTGCTAAGTCGAAGAGGCGTGGGGTTTAATTTTTTGGGGTGGTAATTTTCATCGATTTATTTCCCGCCTAAAATGCGTGTTTCACTTAAAAATTATAAAAGCTACACATTTACACGACGCACATTTTATGAAAGGCGCCCCCCGCATTTCATTTTTTTCATTTCTGACACTAATTTTAGGGTACGCATAAATGCGTGTCGTCTATCCTTGAAATTTTGGACAACTGACATTAGTTTTTAGGGCACGTACGAATACGCATCCTCTATCACTGTGTGTCATTGTTTGCGCGTCCTTAAAGGTTGTTTTTCTAGTAGTATATCAAAATACCCCACACAATTGACTTTTGCTTGCCCCCAAGCAAAACTGAATTTTAGTATACTAATATTACATAAGACAATCACAATCAAACCCAACCATTATGCCAAGACCGCAACGCATGCATTTGTGTCTAAAATTTTCCTAATAACCCCCCATACTCCAAATACTCACAATCCTCATAAACATTCACCCACTTTTTCCGAACAATGCTCATTTTATGCATCCCTCCGAATCCATCCTCAGAAAACCTCTTAACCTCAAGGTATTTTTGGTTGAGCAAACCAAGCATACATAATCTAGACAATTACAATTTATGATACCACATTGGAGCTCTTTGGAATTCTTCACTTCTTTGACATTTGATCTTTAATTTCTTTGAATTCACCACCTTGTTGTTTGATTTTTAGTATCTTCAACTTTTTAATTTCTTCAGAATTTTTGATCTTCTAATTTCATACTTAACTTTGATGCTCCGAAAATTCTTCAAACTTTTTCTTGTAATTCTATCTTTTTTTTTATTACATGTACCTCACTTTTTTTCACTAAAAACCCTACATGCTTAAGTAGGGGCGCTCAACTTCAACCTTTATTGGCTAAAGATAATAATTTTCCTGGATACATTTTTGGTACACGATACTAAACATATTGCATCCTTCAAACTAAGCGATGTCGTGTTTTTGTCCCATGATTTCACTAGAATAAGGAAGCCGCAAATGCACTAGAACGTATATAGGCTCAACTAAACATTTGGGTTTTCATGCAATCATCAAATATAATACTAGCATGATCCCTAATTGTTTTACCAAAATTTTCTAAATTAGACCTAGCAATTTTAATGCAAACATTTCAAAATTTATCAAAAATTAACTAAAATTTGAACTAAAATAACCAACCCCCTACCCCACACTTAATTTATGCAATGTCCCCATTGCATATTATGCATGATAAAGAACAATAAAATAAAGAGGGAATTGGAACAAACTCCCCTGGGATAGTAGTTGCGAGGTTTAACTTCTTCATTTAAAGCTCCATCTTCAGCTGACTTTAGACATAGGAACAACTCATCCATGCATTGGGTGTCATTCGTCTCGTGTGGTTGACAGCTCCAAAATATTGAGGAAAAAGCTTCTTGGAAATGCTCGGAAATATAGACAATGTCGCCTTGAATTGAATCAAATCGTTGACTCAAAGATAAAAGAATGAGCAACTCGTCGAGTTTTATGTGGAGACTCGCCGATTTGAATCGCTATACTCGCAGAAATCGTGATTTTTTGCTTGGACTCGTCGAGTTAGTATTATGCACTCGACGAGTTCTTGACTCTGATCAGGTCTTTTGTTCTTTCTGCCTCAGCTTTAATTTTGTGTTCAAGGAGAGTATCAAGGTAATACTACTCCTCATTTTCTTCAGGGACGAGACTCTTGTTAATCAAATATAAACATCAGACTCAACATATCGCTCAAAGTCTTCTAATCTTCTCGTAAACGACTCGACCCCTCACTTTAATTCCCTCACGCTTTGAGAATTCTCTCTAATATCACCCTAGCTTCTGAAAAGATCAAAAACAAATACCAAGTAATAATAAAAATAAATCAAAATAAAAATCCTAAATTATCCCTAAATACTAGAAGTTTAAAAAGAAAAAGAAAAGCAAACTCTAATGACGGGTTGCCTCCCGCAAGCGCTTCTTTTTGTGCGAGTCTTTAGCTGGACTCTCAACTTAATAAACTTCTAATAAATTCAATGCCCATCCATCCATTGCATTAAATATTTTCTTTGGACCAATTTGTAAAATTCGACTCTTTGCTTCAAAAATTGGCCAAAAAAGCTTGAATTCATGAAACCCAAGAATATTGACAAGGGTTGGAACCGGTTGGATACTAATCAAAAATGGATCTTGATTTAGAACTTTATCCAAAGTTGGAATCGTCACCCCATGCTTCGAAACACAAACCGAAAATACAAGGGGCCATGTCGTGGTAATGGTCAAACCACAGCTTGGTTCCTGCAACTCAGGTTGTTTTTGTTCTTCATCCGATCTCTCTGCTAGCAACCTTTCCAGCTCCTCCAAATCTCTTTCTGGATTAAATTCTTCATCTTGTAACTTTAGCTCTTGTGACTCAAATTGTTCTTGATCGTTAGACAAGATGTTATCTAACCATCTATCAAAATTCTTCAAATCATCATCTGAGTCATAGTCCTCATCTTTTTGCTCATTTACCTGCGCTACTTCCTCAAGAAAAGCATCAAAAGCATTGAGATTTGGAAAATACATAATAAATAAAAAAAATAATAAAATAAAAATAAAAATTAAACTATATAAAAAAATCAATAAAATAAAAATGATAACAATTAGCAAATAAAATTAACTATTTGAACCGTTCCCCGGCAACGGCGCTAAAAACTTGATGTGTGTAAAACCAACTAGTTTTAATCATACTAACTTAAACACAAAGACAAACACACGAAAGGCAGTGTACCTATCGATTAGCAGCTTAGTTCAGGTAAGTAGGGTATCGAACACAGGGAATGGTAAACAATTAAAATAGATGCTAATATTATCTAAATAAAACAAGTAATAGAAAGGGGGGTTTCTCTAGTTTTGCAAGACTAGAAACTTAAATACTTTACTAACACGCAAACAAAGCAACTAATAGCTAAGAAAACAAAGATCAACTAAATTCAATGATTAAAAAGGACTTCTGTTTAGGTTCGAATCATTTGTTCCCATGGATGATTTTATGGTAAATATATCGGATTAATTCTTCATTGGTTACCGACTAAAGTGATTAGATTCACATTCGCTATAGCTAATCCTTAGAAAACATATTAATTCAAGCAATGGCCAGTTGTCTAAATTAATGAATTTCCTAGTTTGTTGATTCGGGTTTAGAAAGACTTGTAATTAGCTAATCAAATTGGTGATTCAATTAACCTCTTGTTGATGGTGTATCACACAAGCTCACACATTAACTTACCTATCTTCAAGTTAATTCTAGTTTCACATTCGTTATTCCTAGACATACAACTATGTGGTCACGTAAATCATATGAAATTAGCAACTAAGAGATGTTCATACAACTTAATTACTGATTTATTAACAGAAGAATAGTTATTGTTAACACATAAGGTTCTTTAACAAGCTTAATAAAACATAATCACCAATTAAAATTAATCCTAATCAAATAATCAATCCATGTTCACAAATTCATCTACCTAAACAGAAGTTATGAGTTTTTAGCTCATGATTACAGCAGAAACAAGCTCAAAAATGAAATCAATTGGTAAAAACATAGTCAAACAAGAGATTAGGTAAGAGTAAACTTGATTTTGACTTGATTCTCCTTAAAATTGAATGTAGGGTTGATTCCCTTGCTTCCCACGCTCTAGCAGCACCTTTAGTCGACAATTGGCCTCCAAGGGTTCATTTATCTGCCAGGGTATCGATCTGAAAGTCCCTTTATATAGATTTTCACAAAACAGGGGCTACTCGGCGAGTCCATTGACCTACTCGGCGAGTCCATCACTTAAAACCCGTGTGCGGCAAGTCAGCGTGTCCAGAATCGCGAAACTTCTGACCAACTCGGCGAGTAATCTACCCTACTCGCCGAGTACGTTTCGAATCAGCATTTTCTCAAAACACGAAAGTCATCCGCAATTGTGTCTACTTTTCAGAAAATTTTTAATCTCGTCAATCGGAGTTACGGTTCATGAGATATGGCCAAAACATTGACGAGGGGTCAAGCTGTCCAGCAACATCCTTCTTTCTTCAAAATCCAATATCCAAGCCTCCAATCGCTAGTTCCGCTTCCTTTTCCTTCCGAGCATGTCATTATTGCTGAAAAATGAAATTCTAAACTAATTAAGCACCTTTTGTTCATTAAATGAGATAAAATCAACATAAAGTATTAAGATAATGCATGTTGTTTATAACTAAATATGCCCATATCAAGCTTTTAACGAGTAGCTCGCGAGTAGCTTGGCTCGTTTGCACCCCTAGTGATGGGTGTGCCATGAGTGTTTCATCATTTAGTTGACATGACTGTT